CTGTGACTCAGTGATGGGCATGAGCACAGGAGCTTCGTGGGCGGCCCTGGTGCTTGCCGTGTGCGTGCTGTGTGGACAAGGCAAGAAGACCTACAGGACGCGGGAGGCGAGCTTGCAAGGAGAAGTCGAGGACAACCTTCACGTGGGACGCTCTCTCAATCTCCTCCCTCGCTACGGTTTCCTCACTCTCTCCGTCAAGGTGAGTTAAGGAGGTCTTTTGATCGAAGTTCTGTAGGTAGGTGTATAGATAAGGTGTAATTAATGCGATTCGACTAAATGTTCAAGAGATTTACTCGTGCAGTTTATGTAATTGCACAGACGAGCTCATCAAAACGTGCCTGAAGGTTTATTCATTCTCATTTGTTGCTTTGTCTACATTTATCACAAATGTAGACTGAATTGTTCTTTTTTTTTCAGTGGCATTATGTACGTTCCCGATAGGCTTCAAATAAAATAGTCAGAACTAACATGGCAAATCAGTGCAGTAACGTAGATATTTAACTAACTTTATTAATGAATAGGTGTTATCAAATAGTGTATATCAGGCCGTCAACACTCAAATTCCGTCATCTCTCTCTCTCTCTCTCTCTCTCTCTCTCTCTCTCTCTCTCTCTCTCTCTCTCTCTCTCTCTCTCTCTCTCTCTCTCTCTCTCTCTCTCTTATTTTCTCCTCCCCCTTTCCCGCAGGTGTTCCCGCACCGCACGGACAACAGCTGGCTCTTCCGCGAGCAAACGGCCGAGGTCTTCCAGAAGAACTCGTACTGGGCCACGAGCGACCGACCGCGGCGCCGGCAGCAGCACCTCTACCGACAGCAGCAGGCCCAGGGCAGCGGCAACGAGCGGCAGAACGCGACCCGACGTGGCTACGACCAGTACTTCTTCATCGACTTCTGCGACGACGAGCAGGATCTGCTGACGGCCTACTTCGACAACTTCTACATCGAGGGCGTCCCCGAGCCCAAGCGCGCCTTCACCAGCTCGCTCTCCACCAAGACCAAGGCGCAGCACCTGGGGATCCACCCGACCTTTCTCAACAACCAGTACTCCTTCGTCCTCGTCAGGCTCTTCAGGAGGGCGCGCAGGGCGACTCTTGCCGGTGAGGCTGCCTGACGTTTGCTCTGGTTGTGTCTGTCAGACTTTGCGTAATTCTTTCTTGACTTTCTCTTCCCCCCCCCCCCCCCCCCCCTCTCTCTCTCTCTCTCTCTCTCTCTCTCTCTCTCTCTCTCTCTCTCTCTCTCTCTCTCTCTCTCTCTCTCTCTCTCTCTCCCTCTCTCTCCCTCTCTCTCCCCCTCTCTCTCCCCCCCCCCCCCCCCCCTCTCTCTCTCTCTCTCTCTCTCTCTCTCTCTCTCTCTCTCTCTCTCTCTCTCTCTCTCTCTCTCTCTCTCTCTCTCTCTCTCCCCCCCCCCCCTCTCTCTCTCTCTCTCTCCCTCTCTCTCTCTCTCTCTCTCTCTCTCTCTCTCTCTCAAGGAGTACTCTTGTCCTCCATAGAAATCATACAGCCATTTCGCTTCTCCCCGCTCCCACTCCTCACTCACCCTTCCCTTTTGATCCTCCAGGTGACCTGACTCTCTCGAGTGACTTCAAGTCGACGGTGAGCGACGTCCGCGTAGGCTCGACGGAATCGGTCAACCAATTCATCGACCGATACGGCACGCACGTCATCACGGAGTATGAGGTTGGCGACGTCATGTACCAGGTCTACGTTTTCGGGGAGAGGACGTACGCCGAGCTCAAGGATACCTTCGCGATGAGTCAGAGGTTAGCTTGAGCGGCAGGCAGGGGTGTGTGGACAGGGGGGGGGGGAGGTGCGGATGTGAAATCAAGAGTAAGCGTTTTTTTCCAAGAAATTTTTTTTTTTTCTTTTTTTCTTTTTTTTTTGTCAATAGTATTGAATTAAAAAGGGACGATGTAGTTTCCATGAAGGCAGCAACTATTACATTTTATTTATTGCAAATTTGGGAGACTTTTTATCATTTGACCAGAGCAGAAACTATTAACTTTTTATACCCATTTCTGGCTACCTGATATATCTTAATACTTCTTTTGTCATCACAAACTCAAAGAACATCGATCTCATTTCATCCCACATTTCAGCAGCAGCCACCAGAGTGATCTCAACCGAATGGAGAGGTACTTCACGCCATATTACGCCCTTCACGTTGGCAAGCTTAAATTGGCCTCAGGTGCGTAAACGCAAACCATTGCAGTGCTATTTTACTTGCTGTCGTCGTTGATGATGATTTCTGCAGCCATCCTGTGCAGAACGTAATTTAAACATCTGGAAGATGGTGGTTTTCACAATGTGAAAAATAGAGATTGCGATCTGTCAAACTAACCACTTCAAGGCTTATAGCCTTTCTAGAGAAATTAATACAGTCCAACAAATAATAGTTATAAACACGACGAGGACACATGGCAATCACATTGTTATTGTTATTATTTTTTATTTTTTTTATTTTTTTTTATTTTTTGCTTTCCCTCCAGGTAACCCAGAATTCGAGAAGGTCGTGGCAGACGAGCTGATGGCCATGACCTTCTTCCGAGTGTACCACAGTATATTCGCCATCTTCCAGAAACAGGAGCTGCAAACAACGCTGGAGCAGTTGGAGGGCGAGGTCGTACTCAGCCTCAAGTTGGAGAAGATCACCAAGATTGTCCCGAAGTCTCCCAAGCGCCACTGGCTGAGGGAGGTGCTGGATAACACCCTCCATCTCTACTATGTTACCATGTAAACAAACAAAGCAGCAATGAACATTTTAAACAACAGCAAACACGTCCTGAAAATATACAAATAAAGGTGTTATGATACCAAAACAAGAACCTAATATAAACAACAGGCAACTTATCTGCGGCACTTGGGAGGACCGAAGTCGTCTCGTTTTGGTTCTCAGGCGTATTTCTTACTCGCTCCTCTAGCTCCTCGTGCAACAATGGGTTTTTGCAATACTTAGTATTACTTATATTTAAGTTGTACCTAACCTATTTCCACGTATTTGTTAGCTGCTTTTTTAGTTTCTCTAGTGTTACATACTAAGCTGGTTGTTATCTATAAATTGCAAGGTCTGCCACAACGTTGCATGTCATTTAAGTGCCTTATTATATTGCACATGTGGTTTCCAAAGACCCACAGTCAGGGTGAGAGTATGTAATATATATATTTTTGCTACTAAGTAGCAAGCCTTATTCACTGTTGTTCATTGGTTTCTTTATTTCTCATACATGAATTTTTTTGTGTGTGGATCCCATGCCTAATATATATCTGATGTTTGTAGTGATTGTGGTGTGTTATGTGATGTGTGCTTAAGATGACTGTCTAAATCCATAATTTGAATTGTTAAATAGTTAAAAGTGAGGGTCTGTTTCATACCTCTTTCCAGGATTTATGCAAATGGGTTTTTAACTGTTGACTGTTGAATACATTCCCTTCAAGAAATGGATGAGATGTTAAATGGATAAATACTGCCTAATTCCCGAGTTTTATTTGTCCTGTAATATCTACTGATTATTTTTTAGTATAACATTTCAAACAATATAATGCAAAAGGAAGTTTGATATAAAAACAGCACTATCTTTAGTTTTTGCATTGATGTTATATCATCTTTGTGGTACAACTTTTTAGAGTAAATTCACATTTTATCAACTAGCTATATCATTTTACAGTTTCATATGCACACTGTCTTACTTACAGGAGATTAAAAATATATAGCTAAAAGACATCAGCATCATTTCATAAATAATCCAACCTTTTTGTACTCTTCTCCTAAATCAGTGTTGGAAGGATTATCAAACAATAATTTGTATTGCGCATATAATGTTACTTAAACATTTTGCAAACAACACAGTGCATCTCTTATTACAACAAAACAAGAGGAAAGAGATAAAAACAACAATAATGGTATTGATAAAAATATCAATTATTACAGTGTATCTCTCATTATATAAAATAAGAGTAATTACATTAGTCACAATATTAACAATAATATCAATTATGCTACACACCCTAACATCATATATATATATATATACACCATGCCAAAAATATAATTTTCCTGAACTTAATATGAAAGACATGACTGCTTGTACTATTGCATAACACACACTCATTCTCTCACCCCCCCTTTCCTCTGCCTCTTTCTAATTCTCATCTCTTTTGTTTGCCTTTGCCGCCTGCTGGAGGAAGGGCGTCCAAGCCACTGTCAAACTCTGAGAACATTGCCGACTTGGGAAGTTTGCCCATCTTCTGATTCATCACTTGGATTCTCCTACGAAAAGTATTAATGGGTTTAGTTTGACATAAACAGTTAATAAAATCAATAATAATAATAATGAAAATCCATTTCCTCTATCAATTCTGTTTTCCTAAATACTACATGAATACACTAATATGAGCCACAATACTTGAAATAGTCTAATCATGACATGGACTGAATGTTTACTTTTTTAACTTTCCCTGAGTAAGCATTCTATTCCTCCATGAAGAATACGAATATAAACAAGAACAAAATTATAACATATATTTTTTTAAGAAGAAAAAAGGAAAAACTAGAACATGGGACTTACTTTCTCTTCTCCTTCCTCTCCCGTTTCTCCTTAAACTCTCTCTTTGCTTTGAAGGCTGCTGAAGCACCAAGGGCAGAAGGAGTGTCTCTGAGCCCCATACTCTTTGCATAGTGACCAAGATGGAGGGCTTTGAAGCTAAACATCTCACGCACTTCCTTGGGGTAAGAGGCGTAAGCCCGTACAAAGGATACATAAGCTGAAAAATGAGAAAAAAACAAGTAAGTACTACTTAAATATGCTACTTATATAATTCTAATTAATTCTAATCCTAATTCTGTTCATTAAAATATTTGTTTTTATTTCTATTTAATAACCTTTTCCTAAATGAAAAAAAAGCAGTAAAATATATAAAAACAAAGAAATAAAAAATAAAAAAATTAAACTGCCATAGTGTCTGTCCTCTTTCCTTTAGTCAGATTAGTTTTTAAAATGCCAGTTGAAACTTTGTTCTTATATTTGTATAAAATATACTTCAAAACTAATAAAAATTAGTTCTTAGAGTCAACCACTCAAATGAAGGTCAAGGTCACAATACAGAAACCTCATTATATTTTTCACTTGAGTTACTTCATCAAACAACATACTGATCCATCAAACCGTACTCCCACCTACGTCCCTATTTATAATGTGACTTACAAAAAAAACAGCCACTCACCTTTGCGAGACAAGTCATGCATGCTTTGGTCGCTGATGAGCTCATTTTCCACGCCGAGCTGGAAGTTGGTGGCTAATTCTTCCACCGACCTCATAGACGGCTATAAAGATAAAAGAATAAAACATAAAATCACACTGTGTTAGACTTCCGTGTGTTTTGGCTTAAAATCATAATTTTAAGGTGAAGCATGAGTGACAGGGTAATTTTATCAGTATGGTCCAAATGTCCAAAGTGCACTCAAACTTTAGATTTCAGAAACAGTGGATAAAATCTGCCTCATCACCCCACACTCACAGCTGCTTTGCTGGCTTTCACTAGACAAATGCTAAGCAAAGGTGTGGGCTACAAACCTGGGGTCCAAAAAATGCCATGCTCACAGCTGCCCGGCCATGCCAATTAGTGTCACTAACTAATGGTAACATTGGACTAACACCACTCAGTTTTATCCGTTTGGTTTGGTTTGTGTACAAAATTATATAATACTGAAAATTCACTTTTATCTTCTCTTCTTTCCTACCTGACCTGAATATCTTTTACTTCCTGAATCAACAATCAGTAACCATACACAAGCAAATTTATTACATACCTGATCTTCACCAGTGTAATCATCACAGGCAAAGCTAAAGCTTTTGAGCACCTCCTTCATTCTAATTTCCTGTAATCTGTTGGGAAATTAAAGGGAAGGACCAGAATTTATTTTACCAATCTAGAAAGAATCAAATTTATTACTAAAAATTTCATATATCAGTATTCTACATAATCAGCAGAGCAAGAAATGTCATACACTATCAAATGATTTGTAAATATCACTATCAACATACAAAATCTTGTGCTTCTCAAGCATCTGAATGTAAGGGGCTTCTGAGGGAGCAAGGAAGGCAACAGCTGATCCAGCAGAATTGACACGTGCTGTACGCCCTACTCTGTGGACATAGTCAGCGGCTGTACATGCAGCATTAAACTGAACAATCCAACGCACTCTTGGCAAATCTAGACCTCTTGAGGCAACATCCTGCAAGATATAAAATATAAGTAACATCCTAGCAATTACATATGAGAAGAAAGGCGAGAGTGTAAACAAGACCTAAAGCAAACTGCTGAATATAAGTCAAGTCAATTTTCACAATTTTAAAATGCTTATCAGAGTATACTTTTGATACTTACAGTGCACATCAGAACACCAGCAGATGCTTCACGAAATGATTTGAACACTGCTGATCTTTCCTGTAATGTATTAAAATGATTTAGTGTTACATAAAAACTATAGACTATACAAACAAAAATCTGAAATTAAAATCCAAAAACTAGGGATTTAAAAGATCAACCTAATTCTGTTCTCCACTCAAAAGCAAGAGCAACAAGAACATGACCTGTTATACCTGCTGAGTCATGCTGCCATGCAACTTCTGGAAGAGAATTGTCTTCTCAGTGTCTTCCTCTTCCTCCTCTTCACTCTCTTCCTCCTTGTCCTCCTCTCCTGCCAGAACTTTCTCTGCTCGCTTCAGTAAGGAAGGTCTTTCGTCTTTCACCTTTCCATACCTGTAGCAGTTGCAGCATGAAGTTAAACATCCCTTTAATGGTGTAGGCATGACTACTAGCATTTATAATTAAATTTGAAACAAGCCAGTGTAGCTAGAATAAAATACATATTTAAAAATATCATATCATGTGACCTAGCACCCCAAAATATAATTTTCCATTAATTATATTTATATTTCATCTAGTTCTTTGGATAAAGGAGATAAAAAAAAGTCCTTTGGACCAAAGAAAAAGAAAGAAAAAAAGAAAAAAAAAAAAAGTCATTAGAAAGGCAAGGTAAGGGGGGGGGGGATTCCTGTAACTCAAACATAGGAGCAGCACCTGGAGAGAAGCCGAGAGAATATCTGAGTGTGAAAGTCCACCAAGTCCTGCGTTGCAAAGAATACAATCATCTTTTTTTCATCCCCAACCTGTTGAGCATAAAAAAAATTGGACACAATAATTCCATCTTCTTAAAATATTACTGTGTAGATAATGTTTTTTCTTTTAATGTAACCATAACCTAAAAAATAGAAATGCTAAAAATCCAAGTATACTAATCATCAAAGTCTGAAACAAACCCTTATCCATCAGGAGAAAAATAAAGTCAAGAAAAACTATGGCTACAAACACATACCTTACACTTAGAGAGTATAAATGCCGCCAAAGTGACAAGCCTGAGCTTCGCAGGGACCAATATATAATTGTGTGAGAGGTTCTCCGGGGTGGCCAGAGCTTCACACATCAGCTTCCCATCCTGTCCCTCTTGGCTGACATCAATAATCTCCGGTGAGACAAGACTCATGCCTGAAAGGGAGTGACAGATCTTTATAGACTCGGAAAGAACTATGTGACTTTATTGCAAAATGAATGAGTTTTTGTAGTAATACTGACTTGAGAGAATGGTAACTTTTTAATCCTTAAATATACAGATACATTAAGAACATTTACCTGCTAACTTTTCAACCCCTGAAGAGAGAGTAGCTGAGAGCATGATCGTCTGTCTGTCAGTGGATTCTTGTTGCTCCTTGAGAGATTCCATAATACTACAGGGGAAAAATACAACAATTATTTATTCAAGAAATGTGGATGTGAATACTGAGAATATCTAGTCTTTACAGTCATAACCTATACTGATTGACACTTCTATTCATGAATTCCAAACTATATCAGCCACACTAACTTGAGATGACAGCAAACATTCTCCATAAATATATAGGGAATTAAAAACTAATCCTAAAAAGCTATATAACAAATACATTTTAAAGAGTCATTCCACAGAATATAATAAATAAATCCCACCTTGTCACACTTCTCTCGTAGCCCATGTCAAGCAACCTATCAGCCTCGTCAATGACCAGGTACTTGACTTTGGCTAGACTTAGGGATTTGGTGTGGTGGATGTGGTCGATCAAACGGCCCGATGTCGCCACAAGAATGTTGATGCCTTTCCGTAGCCGAGCCTTCTCTGCCTTCTTTTTCTCTCCTCCAATAAGGTAACCAGGGACTACCCACACACAGGCCTAGAATACGAGAATAATTATATATACAATACAATTATACAGCAAAGCATGACTGTATATAGGGACAACAACTTCCAGCACACGGCTTTTAAAAACACAGGAGGTATATTTGTGCAATGGTAATAATCCCAAACAGTCCATTACCTCAAATGCATGCTTCATTTACAAAAAAAAATAATAATAATAATCTGGATATTTAGTTCTCCTTACCT